AGGAAGAGGGGGGAGGGCTCATTCCCAGTCCCATTCCAGATTGGGGGGTGGGGGGTGGGCAGGGGGTGCAAACCAGCATCCTCGGTTTGGGGGGGAGCCAGGGCACGTGCCGGGGGGGAGCAATGAGTTTGCCAGGCATCAGCCCCACACACTCCCACCTCCAGCGCCAAGCGGTGGCACAAGGTGCCCCCCCTCCCCAAAAAGAGTAACCCCCCTCGCATGCAGCCCTGAGCAGGGGAGTTGGGCGTGCAGAGCAGGGGAGGGGGGGGAGTGAGAGATGCTGGGGGAAACTGAGGCACAGAGACACACCCCCACACACACCCCATGCCCAAACCCCCCTTGATGCGTGTCCCCCCCCACCCCACGGTGCAGCTCCGGAGCCCCCGTGGTTTGGGAGGAAGGGGGGGCAGGACCGTGCAGCAGCCGGGGGGGCCGGGGGGGGTCTCACTGCGGTGGGATGGAGGGGGGGGGCTGCAGGAGTGGGGGGATGGGGAGAGAGGGGCAAGCCCCCAGGGGTGTCCCTAAAAATGGAGTGATCGGGGGAGGGCAACCTCAAGCCCTGCAGGGGATCTCCCATACTGGGGGAGGGGCTGAGCCCTATGGGAGACCTCAAATAGGGAATCAGGAGGGGGGACCCCAAATGGGGGCTGTGTAGGGGACATTGTTGAGCCCCACTTGGGAGCCCAAATAGGGACTGTGGGGGAAAGGGGGCTGAGCCCCACAAGGCACCTCAATTAGAGGCTTTAGGGGCCCGGTTGAAGCCCAAGGGGGACCCCAATAGGGACTCTGGGGGGTCCCAAGTAGGAGCTCAAGGTGGGGCTGGTTGGGCCCCACATGGCTCCCCAATTAGAGGCTCTGGGAGAACTTGTTGAGCCCTGGGGTTGACCCTAAACAAAGGCTCAGGGGACTGGTTGAGCCTCATAGGAGAACCCTGATTAGGGGCTTTTAGGGGACCCCAATTAGGGGCTCTGGGTGGGCTGATTGAGCCCTATGGGGGGGACCCTAATTAGGGGCTTTTAGGAGACCCCAAATAGAGGCTGGGAGGGGAAGCCCCATGGAGACCCCAAATAGGAGATCTTCTGGGAGAGGTTGAGTCCTGGAAGGGACTTTGAGGGACGGCAATAGGGGATCTTTGGGGGTCCATCTGAGCCCCCAGGGGGACCCCAAAACCTCTTTGGGGTGGGGGGCGGGGCAGGGTGTCCAGGCCCCAGGGTGACGCATCTTACCCAGCCCGTCCTGGGGGGGCTCAGCGGGGGCCGGCGGCCGCAGGAGGAGAAAAACACGGGAGGGAAAAAAAAAAAAAAAAGCCCCCAAATCCCCCCAAATCTCCCCTAAAAGTGAGGCCTTGGGGGGGCCGGGGCTGGGGGGATGCCCCCGGGGGGGATATTCTACCTTATAGGCCACGCGGGGGGGGCAGCTCGTGCCCAGCCCCAGCGGCGGCGACATTTGTCGCAGCATTTCGTACATGTCGGCGAGGGTCAGGCGGCCCCTGGGGGCGAGAGAGGGGGGGGAACACACCGGGAGCGGGGGTTACACCGGGCGGGAGGGGGAAGGAGGAGGGGGAGAGAGAACA